CTGAGCGCCAGCCAGGCTCCAGCTGCGACCGGCCAGCGCTTTTCCAGACCCACTGGGGTGGAAAGGACTTTGGAGGCTTCTGCCACTTAATTAGCAGCCTGCCTTAATTAGCAGCCTGCCCGCGCTGCCAGGCTGCCTCCAAAGTGCCTCGGCCCCGCTGGGACGGTGGGGCTTCGGTGGCCGGCGCTGAGCTGCTGGGGCTTGTCCCGGGGGGATGCGACACGGGGAGCGCGGGTGTGCGCATGTGTGTGTGTGCGCATGTGTGTGTGCGTGTGTATGTGCACACGTGTGAGCAGTGGGAGGGCCGTGTGTGCGCATATGGTGGTGCAGGTGGTGGATACGCAGAAAGGTGTGTGTGTGTGCGGCTCCGTGTGCATGTGCATGCGTGTTCAGGGGAGGCAGCACGCGTGTGCATGTCTGTGCACGCTGCGTGTGTGCGCACACGTGTAGGTGAGAGTGTGCGCGTTGCATGTGGCGTGTGTGCGCACACGGGCATGGAGGGATGAATGTGCAAGCGCACGTGTGTGTGGATATGGAGAGACAGTTATGTGCATCTCTAGGTGCACGTGTTCATGCGTGTGCATGTGTGTGGATGTGGACGCGCATTTGTGTGGATGTCTCCTCATGGATCACAGCCTCACAGCATCCCAGCCTGGTGAGGGTGGGAAGGTCCCTCTGGAGCTCCCCCATCCCACCCCCCGCCAGAGCAGGGGCACCTCCAGCAGTGGCACAGGACGGCGTCCAGGCGGGTTTGGGATGGCTCCAGAGGGGGAGACTCCCCCACCTCTCTGGGCAGCCTGTGCCACTGCTCTGCCGCCCTCACAGCAGAGAAGGCCCTCCTCAGCTTCAGATGGAACTGCCCATGGTCACCTTTGTGCCCGTTCCCTCTTGTCCTGTCACGGGGCACCACTGGACACAGACTGTTCCCATCCCCCGGCACCCTCCCTTTGGGGATTGAGAAGCGTTGAGGAGATCCCCCTCAGTCTTCTCTTCTCCAGACTGAACAGCCCCACGTCCCTCAGCCTTTCCTCAGCAGAGAGATGCTCCAGTCCCCTCCTCACCTCCGTAGCCCTTTGCTGGACCCTCTCCAGCAGTTCCCTGTCCTTCTTGACCCGGGGAGCCCCGAACTGGACAGTGCTCCAGATGTGGCCTCCCCAGGGCAGAGCAGAGGGGGAGGATGTGTGTACAGGACGGGGTGTGTGCACACACAGACCCATACCAGCCGCCTGCATGGCTGTGCGTGTACACTGCTGCACATGCGTGTGCACAGGGTTGTGTGTGTGCACGGCGGGGTGTGTGCACACCCATGCAGGTGTGTGCGTGAATGGCGCTGCACCCCGTCCCCACGGTGCCCCATGGCGCTGCAGCCATCCCCC